CATAAATTCGATATAATGGAGGCCGAGGGAGCCACTTGAATTCCATGCACCTCTCCATTATCCACCGCCCGGTTCACCATTGCAATCAATGCCTCCGCACAACATATGAACAAGTAAGGAGAGAGTGGGTCTCCTTGGCGTAGTCCCCTTGTCGGGTGCACTGAACCAAACTCAGATTCGGTAAAAGGGAGGGTTAGCTTCTGGGCGGCATCACCCGAAATCTGAGGTTCAATGCACTCCAACACCTCATCTATCTCAATAACACTTGGATCGGTGGACTTGAAGATTTCCTCGAAATAATCCGAAATCACTTTTTCGATCTCCTCAGGTTTATCTCTCCAGAAGCCTGAATTGTCTTTAATTTTTTTAACCGTATTGATCCGTTTCCTCGTAGTGGCCTTTGCATGGAAAAAACTCGTATTCCTATCCCCCTCGTGAACCCATTGAACTTTGCTTCTTTGACGCCAGTACATATCGGTATCAACATAGAGATTCTCTAATTCCGCTTGCAACTCTTTCACCTCCGCTTTGTTCTCTTCTGATATAAGTCCTGATTTAAGCACTTTCAACTTTTTTCTAATTTCTGCAATTCGCATCTGGGGCTGTTTAACGGTGGTTTTGCTCCACCTGAGAAGAGCAAGCCGACATTCTTTGGTCTTGGTCAGAACTTCTTCAACCGGGTTAAGCTCACTATTCCCCGTCCACTGTTGTTGAATAATTGCTTCACAATCTTCTCTTCTAATCCATAATGCTTCAAAGCGAAATGGTCGTCGCCTTCTTGTCGTGTTCCTCGTATTAGTATTATGGGAAAGTAATATTGGACAGTGATCGGAGCCTGGGTAATCGAGATGTGAAACTTGCGCCTCGGAAAACATGGAAATCCACTCTGAATTTGCACAAACTCTATCTAGCCGGCACCGCACAGTGTAAGGCTCGTTTCGATTGTTCGACCAAGTAAACGGATCACCATTGAAACCAATATCAGCCAACCCACAATCAACTAAGGTATCCCGAAAAGCTCGAATACTGGCCGGCGATTTTTGAGGTCCTCTTTTCTTCTCAGCGTTATCAAGTATTTCGTTGAAGTCACCTCCTACCATCCACGGCAAATTATTTTGATGCTGCAGAGTTCGAAGAAGATTCCATGATTTAAACCGTTGTGATTGATCCGCGAACCCATAAAAGCCTGTAAACCGCCATTTCAAATCTTTGTCCTTATCATATACCATCACGTCTATGTGGTTAAAAGAGAAACTGAGAAGATCGACGTCTATCTCTTTCCGCCACAGTAATGCAAGACCACCCGACTTGCCAACTTTCTCTACCGATGTGCCAAAAAGATTCCACTTTCTTTTAAGGTATTCAATTCGTTGAGATGTAGATTTCTTCTCGGAAAGGAACACGAGGTCGGGGTGATGTTTTCGGAGAATGTCTCCGAGTACATGAATTGTCAAGGGCACCCCCAACCCTTGACAATTCCAAAGCAGGCAACTCATTGCTGTCAGCGGGACTGCCCCGCAGTCTCCGCCGTTGAGCTAGTTTCCTCATCTCTAAGAGTGAGGTGTTGTTTCTTGCAGACCCGCTGATTCTCTACCTCCATGGATTCTTCAAGTTTTTTCTTTCGATTTTTGTTAGATACCATCACTTTCCTTCTTAGGGTTATGCCTGTCGCATTCGTCGAGATAAGTTGGACCGCAGTCGTAACCAAGTTAGATTCATCCATTAGTGTAATCATCGTATTCTCTTTCCCCACTTGAGTGCACTGTTGAATCTGGTAGTTGTTTGGTTGCGCATTGAAACCAAAGATATTCGCCCCCCGCACAGAGTTTCTTGATCCACCTTCACTGTTCGACTGAATAGTAGGGTTGTTGGGATTTTTTAATATGCGGAAGTGTGGTGTTAAGAAAGAACACCAAGAATTGGTGTAGAGATTTTTACTAAGTGAAGAACAATGGAATTACTTAAGAACAAGAGAGGTTTTTAGTGCTGAAAATTTTTAGTTTTTAGTTGTTATTATTGCTTTCTTACTTGCTTACAAATCTCATCTTGGGTACAATTTATAGGCTAGGAATGGATGCAAAGAGACACTCCATTCCAAGTCCCAAGTTCTTAGGAAATGTAAAAGACTTAACAAATTACAAGAAACCTTCTTGACTTCTACAAGTCAAGTCTTCACCTTTGAATGATGTTCCAACTTCATTATTGAAAATATGAATTACGATTTTCAACACCCCCTCTTAATTCATAATTTTCAGCTTCTTCTTGAACTTTTCAAACTTCTCGATTGTCACGGCTTTGGTAAGAAAATCAGCAGCTTGATCATTGGTGTTAACGAATCTCATTGAGATTTCTTCTTCTTCAACAAGATCACGTATGAAGTGATGTCGAAGCTCGATATGCTTGGATCTTGCATGAAAGACTGGATTTTTAGTCATTGCAATTGTAGACATGTTATCAGAAAAGATAGTCGTAGCATGCACTTGCTTTTCTTGCAAATCCGAAAGAATTCTCCTAAGCCAAACGGCTTCACAAGCGGCATCCGCCGCGGCAATATACTCGGCTTCGCTTGAAGATAAAGCAACCGTCTTTTGCTTCTTTGAACTCCATGCAATCACCTTCGAACCAAGAGAGAAAACATAACCCGAAGTGCTTTTTCGATCATCCAAACAACCTGCCCAATCACTGTCCGTGAAACCGATCAAGGCATTGTTTTCTTCTTTTTCGTACTTCAACCCTTGCTTCTTTGTTCCTTGAAGGTATCGAAGGATCCTCTTTGCCGCTGCAAAATGAAGCTTGCTTGGCTCACTCATGTACCGCGAAACATAGCTAACGGAGTGCACTATGTCGGGTCTTGTGTTTGTGAGATAGATAAGCGAACCAACAAGACTTTGATATATTTTTGAATCAATTTTTTCAGCGCCATCGTCTTGTCGCAACTTCTCATTCACCGCCAAAGGTGTTACCACGGGTTTGCAATTTTCCAACTTGAACTTTTTTAACAAATCATCAACGTATTTTTCTTGAGAGATAAAAATCTCTCCCTCGGATTGTTTTACTTGAATTCCAAGAAAATATTTCATGAGTCCCAAATCGGACATCTCAAATTCTTGCATCATATTTTTCTTGAATTCCTTCACCATTTTCACGTTAGTACCAAGATAAATAAGATCATCAACGTAAAGACAAATGATCAAAAAATCTTGAGTACCTTCATTTTTTACATAGAGTGAGGGCTCACTTGGACTTTTTTGAAATCCATTCTTGCAAAAATAGCCATCGATTTTGCTATTCCAAGCTCGTGGTGCTTGTTTTAATCCGTAGAGAGCTTTCTTCAAACGATAGACTTTTTCCTCCTTTTCGGCAACTTCAAAGCCTTGAGGTTGATGAACATAGACTTCTTCTTTAAGCTCTCCATTAAGGAATGCGGATTTGACATCCAATTGATAGACATTCAGCCCCAATTGAGCTCCGATTGCAAGAACACACCGAATTGTCTCCATTCGTGCTACCGGTGCAAAAGTCTCATTGAAGTCTATCCCGGGCTGCTGCGAATAGCCTTTTGCAACTAATCTCGCCTTGTGTTTTTGGATAGAACCATCTTCATTGACTTTGGTTTTGAACACCCACTTTAAGCCGATTACATCTTTGCCTTGTGGCAAATCCACAAGCTCCCAAGTTTTATTTTTTTTAATTGTTTCAATTTCGGTTTCCATGGCTTTTCTCCAAACTTCTTCTTTTGATGCTTCTTCAAAATTATGAGGTTCACAACCAAAGAAAGCAATATCACAGTGCTCATAAATATCTTCCAATGATCGTACCTTTCTTGGAGGAGATTCGGAATCCGAACTCGAAGAACTTGAGGAACTTCTTTCAGGTGTTCTTTGAGGTGTTCCTTGAGGACTTGTTAATGGAGTTTCATTTCCATTTTGTTGCTGCCCTTCCGGTACAAAAAGTGACTCTAAGGAATCATTTGACACCAAGTTTGGTGAAGAATTGTCCTCCTTATTCCATTTGGCCATTTCATCAAAAATCACATCTCTTGACACGATGAGTTTTTTAGTTTCGGGGTTATAAAGACGATAACCCTTTGACTCATCGCTGTAGCCAACAAGAATTAATTTTTCACCTTTTTCATCGTATTTGTCTCGGTTTGGAGTTGAGATATGAGAGTAGGCAATGCAGCCAAAAACTTTCAAGTGATCCACCGTTGGCTTCTTTTCATGCCAAGCTTCGTACGGTGTTTTATCTAGAACCGCCTTTGTCGGGGATCAGTTGAGTATGTAGATAGCCGTGTGAACAGCTTCAGCCCAAAATTGTTTTTGCAAGCTTTTTCCTTGAAGCATACTCCTCGCCATCTCGACAATGGTTCTATTCTTCCTTTCGGCTACACCATTTTGTTGTGGACTTCTACGAACGGTGAGTTGTCTTTGAATCCCGTTTTTCTTGCAATACTCCATGAATGGTGTGTAGAGAAACGTACTCACCACCACGATCCGTCCGTAAAGACTTGATTTTTAATCCACTTTGATTTTCAACAAGAGCTTTGAATTGTAGAAAAATGGAAAAAGCTTCCGATTTTTCACTCAAAAAATATATCCACATGATTCTTGAAAAATCATCGACAAAAAGAATGAAGTACCTTTTGTTACCGAGAGATGGAGTCCTCGTAGGACCACAAATGTCCGAATGCACCAGCTCTAGTGGAAATTTGGCTCTCCAAGAAGTTTTAGGAAAAGGTAGCCTATGCATTTTGCCGAAAATGCACCCTTCACAAACTTGCTCCTTTCTTTCAATTGATGGAAGGCCAACAACCATACTCTTTTGCTTCAATAGTTGCAGCCCCTTGTTGTACAAATGACCATATCTCAAATGCCACAAATGGGATTTATCGACACTTTCAGCTTTGAAGGCCATTTCCCTTTCCAACGACATAACAAAGGGAAATACCTTGTTTGATGTCATTTGGATTGTCATCACATGAGTTTTGGTTTTCTTATCAACTATGCGTTATCGTCAAAAAGTAACCGATAACCTTTTTGCATGAGTTGGCCGACGCTCAATAAATTTTGAGTGATGCTCGGAACGAAAAGAACATCTTTAATGAGCTTTTGATTGCCTCCATTTTTGTTAACATCAATTGCGCCTTTTCCTCTTGCTTCAAGAATGCTTCCGTCTCCAAGTTTTATTTTTGAATAGTGATTAGTATCTATCTCCACAAAGATACTACGATCACCACACATGTGGTTTCTACATGCGCTATCGACATACCACACGTTCTCGAACTCTTTTTGCCCATTCATGCAAGAAAAGAGTTGGTCTTCTTCATGCTTGGAGAAGTTTGCTTCGTCTTTGTCGTCTTTATTTTTTCTTGGACATTTAGAATAAGAGTGGTCCGTATTCTTGCAGCTCTTGCATCTGAAGAAACAATTTTTAGTTTCATGGTTCGATTTTTTACAAATACGACAACCCGAAAAAGAATTTTCAGATTGTTGTTATTTTCCTCCTTTGAAGAATTTTCCTTGCCTTTTTCCTTTGTTGTTGAAGCCGCCTCTTCCACCTTGCCATCTTGAACTTTTCTTGTCCGAAATATGAAGTTTCGACTGAAAAGCTTGATCCACGGGCTGATTTGATGACCTATTCAACCTTTCCTCATGAACTTGAAGAGAACTCATCAATTCATTAAAGGTATAGGTGGAAAGATTTTTAGATTCTTCTATGGCCGCAACAACATGATCGAACTTCGCCGGAAGACTTCTTAGAATTTTTTAAACAATTTTACGTTCTTCAATAACGTCACCAAGGCTTCGAATTTGGTTGACGATTTCAGCAACTTTGGAAAGAAAGGATTGCATTCCATCGCCTTCTTCTATTGCCATGTTATCGAAATCTCTCCAAAGAGATTGGAGTTTTAAAGAAGTGACTTTATCATCTCCTTTAAGACTTTGTTGTAGAATATCCCAAGCTTCTTTTGCCTTTTTTGCTCCAAATATTCTTGGAAAAATGGTTTTACTCACGCCTTGTTGAAGATATCTCAAGGCACTTGCATCTCTCTGAATATTCTCCTTGTAAATTTTTTGTTGTGCTTCACTCCACGATTCACTCGTAGCTTCTTCTGGTGGCTCGGCATACGTATTCTCCAAGATATCCCAAAGATCCAAAGAGATATACAAAGTTTGCATTTGACTACTCCAATAGTCGTAGTGTTCTCCGTCGAAGATGGGTACTTGGTTGGGGGTAAGTGCAAACATGATGAAAATATATTTCGGTGATTGAAAGAGGTTTGGGTTGTCGGATAAGGGTGGAGAGACCAGCCAAGAAAGCTGGCTCTGATGCCAAATTTGTTGGGATTTTTTAATATGCGGAAGTGTGGTGTTAAGAAAGAACACCAAGAATTGGTGTAGAGATTTTTACTAAGTGAAGAACAATGGAATTACTTAAGAACAAGAGAGGTTTTTAGTGCTGGAAATTTTTAGTTTTTAGTTGTTATTATTGCTTTCTTACTTGCTTACAAATCTCATCTTGGGTACAATTTATAGGCTAGGAATGGATACAAAGAGACACTCCATTCCAAGTCCCAAGTTCTTAGGAAATGTAAAAGACTTAACAAATTACAAGAAACCTTCTTGACTTCTACAAGTCAAGCCTTCACCTCTGAATGATGTTCCAACTTCATTATTGAAAATATGAATTACGATTTTCAACAAGGGTTTGAGGCCTGCAAGGGGAGCCTAGGATTTCCTTTCTCATTATTCCACGTAGCTCGTAGCCAAACGCCATGTGGAAGGTTGTCACTTGGGTCGACGAACGCATCCTCGTAGCGAAGATGGCACCTGGTCTCACTATGTCCCACAATTCCACATAGAAAACAGAAATTCGGGAGACGTTCACCTGGTAGTTGTTTATTTTTATGTACTAATTATATTAATTTATTTATATTATTTTTTTGGGTTAAAGGACTTAAACCTATAATCATCTAGAAATTAAGATCCACACCTATATAAGGGGTGTCTAACCATTTTCCCCTTGAAACAAATGATCCCTATATATTTACTTAAGTATATAATTAAATGTATTCGGAGTTATTTTACATAACCCCCTAGCCACCACATAAACTAGGAATAAATCCAAGCCCAAATCATCCTTTGACATACCCCCTAGAGAAGTGAAAGTACTATACTACCCTTATATGAAATTTTCAGCCAAACTGCATTCAACATTTTTGGTCCTGCATTTATCATTTTCGCTGATTTATTTATTATTAGTTTTTTTTAATATACCCGTTTGTTATATATATATATATATATATATATATATATATATATATATATATATATATATATATATATATATATATATATATATATTTAAATTAAATTTTTTTAATTTTTTTGATTTAATTTTTTTTTTAATTTTCAAATCAATATGTTTACTGTACTGAAAATAACTACATGTAACTGTAGTAACTATAGTAATGCGTAGCTATGTTCTTTTTTTTAGCCCATGTTTTTAGTCGATCACTTATATACACACATGAATACTGGCTTATACAAAAGAAATTCATAAACCCCAACAACAAAAATTTACAAATTTCAATATTTATATTATAAATCTCATCAAAACCAATAAAATACAAATAAAAGATAACAAACATATGCATATGTAACTACATGTTACTATAGTAATATATAGTAATGTACAATAATGTATACAGTCTGTTGAACAAAGCAGATGTAACTTCAAACAAAAATTTTGACACATTCAAGGAAAGGATCAATGGCCTTCATTAAGCTGCAATTGCAAAATCAAAGCAAAGAAAATATTTTAGTGCAAATGAACAAAAAATAAAGAAACATCCTCAAAAAACAACAAACACTAAGAGATCGAGAGAAATAAATCTGAAAATATAAAAATGAAAATATAAAAATAAAATAAAACATAAAAATATAGAAATTGATCTGCAAATATAAAACTGAATGAAATTGACATCAAAATATAGATCCCGACGAGAGAAATCCGACGGTGAGTAGCCCGTCAAATTCCGACTGACGAAAAAACAAATTACACCTCTTGTATATGAACACCGTCGTCGAAATACGCCGAACTAAAAAAATGCAGAAACACATCTAGCACTCCAAACTGAATAAAATACCCACCAAAAGAAAGAGCTCGACGAGAATCCAACGATAGTTGAACCATCGAATTCCGACCACCGGAGAGAGAGTTATGATTCCCAAAAGCAAAATCGCCGGTTAGAGACCTTGGGGGCGGGATTTGGATCTGGAAATTGAGAGAGGAAGATAAATACCGATATTTGGGCTAGGATTTAAAATTGATTTAAAAGGGTATTCTGGGTACTTCAGGATGGGCTAGAGGGATATGTCAAATTATTATCCAAATGTAGGGAGTTTGCACTAGGATATAAACAACATGGTAGTTAGTTATATATATTTTTGAAATGAGAGGGTCTCTAAAATAATCCTAAGGCATTAAATATGAATACTGTGAATTGTAGCTTGGACAGTAGAAATTCATTTGTACTGTAGCGAGTGGTACATTATTCAAAACAGTACTTTAGAAGTATTTAAGTTTTACATACCACTCTTTGTAACATTTTCAGAAAATTTTCTCAAAATATTTCTATTTTTCTTTTTTCCAAAACTCTTCTAAATTTTACTAATGATTTTATGATTTTCGAAATTTCTAGAAATTTGTAATATTTTATGTGTATACTATTATAAGAACAAAAAAATTGGTGTTAACTTTTAGCCCATTATTTTCACTACGTATATATATTCTTACCGTATTCAGTTTCGAACGCCTTTGATAAAAATCTTGGATTCTTCACTAATCATTCGCCCATTTTCATTGTCTTCTATTTACTGGAAATTATGGAATAAATGAAATGACTATGGGTGGAAATGGGACGAAATGAATCGAAAATGGCCTTTCCGGAAACATTCCAATTTTGTTCGGAAGTAGAAAAATGGATTCCAATTTTCATTCCAAAAAAAAATCGGACTGAAAAAATTCTTTCCGATTTAGAAATGCCTCGGAATCAGCGGGATTTTGGATGTAATGGAAATAATGGGAATTTTCACTATATTATGATCTTTTGCTCCAAATTCGTATATAATGAGAATTTTCACTATATTTTTCTATCTTTTTGGAAAGTTTGAAGGAAAATGCAAGAAAATCCAAAAGAGAGTTCGACAAAATGCATAAAATAAAATCACATGTAGGAACAACAAATTGAAACATAGATTTTGTGATAAGTAAAAATGCAACAGAGAGTTTTTTATACCAATTAATATTTTTTAAGGTTTTAATTTACTTGACTCTTTCGTATTTGTGTTTTTTTCTATAAAATATAATATAAGTTATATTATGGAATCACAAAATATATCATAATATTATATTATATATTTCAAAAACCAATCGAAATATGCGGAACTAAAATCGAATCGAAAATCAGATTTCAGGTACTTATGTATACAATTCCGATTATTTACCAAACACATTCGAGAAAATAAAAAATTGAGATGAAAAATACGGTTCCAAATCTGAATATTTTCGAATCGGAATTGGAAGAATTCAGAAATTTCATTCCGATTTCCACACTAGAGATAAGTATTAATTGGGTTAAAAAAAAAAAGATGATTTTAAGCAGTTGAAGTCAGTCAGGACAAGTTGTCAACCACTTCATCTCAAATATAATATATACGACGTGTTTCCGTGTAATGCAAAAAACTTAGTTAAATTGGATTATTGATTTGGCAATCAATTGATGATCTATATACAATCTTCTATAGAAGAGAATAAAATCAATTTTTTTATCTTTGCATAATCTTCAACAGAATGCAACTAAGTTCTACCACTTAATCCCGTTGACCGAAATGTAGATTCATTTTTAAGAATTTCTATTTTTATCATCAATATATAGTTTGATAAATAATATGTTTCTACTTTCTAGTCATTGTAAAATTTCGGAACGCGTAGCATGATAAATATTGGAGGTTTTTGTACGTAAGTCTCCAATTAAACATATTTATTATTTTAGGTGTAGGGGCTATATCTCTTTCACCAATAAGTCCATCGCTTTAATATTTATAAATAAAGGAAACATTCATGTATATGATAATATTATCCCCAACCATTTATACCCAATTCTTAATTGTAACCTCAATTTATCAATTTTGTCTACAAAAATCCAATTTTGACCACAAAAATTCAAATTTGACTTTTTTTTTTCTCTTTCGGATTTTTTCGTCGGTTTCCGGCGTTGACCTTTTTTTTTTTTTTTTTTTCCTGGTCTGTTTTTTTCCGCCGCCGGATTCAGGCGTTGACCGCCGGTCTCCGACGTTGACTTTTTTTAGTGTTTTTTTAATTTTTTTTAACGTCCGCCGCTAAACGTCGACCGTAATTGTGCTGTCACTGACAGTAAATTAACGTAATTGTACTGCCGTTGACAATACATTTATGTAATTGTTCTGCCGTTGACAGTAAATTAACGTAATATTATTATTTTTTATTTTTTGTTATTTTTTTATTTTGTTTGATTTGTTGACAAGTCAACGTAATTATATTACAGTCGTTGACAGTAAAATAACTGTAAACACAATAATATTACTGTCAACAACATCATTATTATTATTGTTTTGGGTTTTTTGTTTTGTTTGAGTTATTCACGGAGTAACGTAATAATATTACTGTCTATTATTGTAATATTACTTTAAACACAATAATATTACTGTGGCTGACGGTAATCTTACTGTTATTATAGTAATATTGATGTCAACCACATCAATATTATTATTTTGTTTGGATTTTTTTGTTTGTTTGAGTTATTCACGTAGTAACGTAATAATATTACTGTATATTACTGTAACATTACAGTGGTTGACGGTAATATTACTGTTGTTATAGTAATATTACTGTCACTCACAGTAATATTAATTCTTTTGGCTTTTTATTATGTTTACATTTGTTGAACGGTCAACATAGTAATATTACTCTATTACACAATAATAATGAGTTTTGTTGTGTTAATATTACTGTGATAGAGATTAATATAGCAATATTACAGTGTTAAACTGTAGTTTAGTTAATTTTACTGTGTTTAACAGTAATATAGTTAATATTACTGTCAATCACATCAATATTGCTGTTTAAACGAAAAAAAATATTACAGAAAGAGAAAAATAAAAAATAAAATAAAAAAAGAAATCGAAAAAGTCAACGCCGGAGACCGGCGAAAAAATCCGGAAGAAAAAAAAAATTGAAAAGTCAACGCCGGAATCCGGCGGCAAAAAAAATTTTTGAATTCTTTTTTTTGAAAAAAAAAATTTGGGTCAAAATTGAATAATTTGTGAAATTTGGTGTCAAATTGAGGTTAAATTTAATTAAGTATGAAATTGGAGCATATTAAAGTATGAGGGGCTATTTTAGTCTTTTACAAAATTTGAACCATGTGATGACTTATTTGTAAATGGATTTTTTGTCTGGATCTCTTTATGAATACGTACCCATTGATGGACTTATTTGTAATGACCCCTAAATATTGTTATACATATATAGATACAGTGCATTCCAAATATTTTTAGATTTCACCATCAACTATTTTTATCTTTTTCATTATTTCGTTTCATTTTTTAATTAACATAAAATAATGTGGTTTATTTGTAGTAGCGGAACCAGGACTTTAAGTTCACAGAGGCCGAATGCATTAAAACTTTTATAGGGTGGGTCTATAATGTTACTTCTACACGACTTTTATTTTAAATCTTTGCATAAAGCATAGGGATTTGAGAATTGTTGGAGGGGCCATGGCTGTCTCTGGCCCTATGCTGGCTCCGCTACTTGTTATTCAAGTTTTTACTCAATAACTTGTTTTAGTAACAATTAGAGTTACGACATGAATCCTCTCTGCTATATATAATTTATCGAGTAAGAATTCGAAGAATCACCCAATGTTTTATAATAAATAAATAATATTAAAATAAATATTTGAAAGAATTATAATTTGTAATCTAAAGGAAATAAAATTGACTAAGAAAAATAAGTAGTTAATAATCCAATACGAAAACACTGCATGAAGATTATAGTTATGTATAAAATTTATTTACGTTGTAGTGTATTTCGCACTTTTTTAACGAGTATGTAATATCTAAAAGTTTTTAGAAAATTGAAAAACTAAAGGAAGGTAATTGTTACATTTGATACTTGAAATGGATAATTATTCCATAACCTATAGTTGAGGAATCTAAGTGAATTTAACATTGCTACAATGAATAACATAAGATATTTATATTATATTCAATAAAAGTTTGATACTTGGTGAAGAAAAATATAAAACTAGCAAAGAAATGGGCATGTGAATCATGCTACCAAAAGTCTATCATTTGATATTACTTTACTAGCCAATTTTGTTAATGGCTAGTTGAAATAATTCTTTCAAATCATTAATTAATTAATAGAACAAAATCAACAACCACTGCCACCTAAAAGATTGTCATCAATTATAAAAGCATTGTGATTAATATTTTCAACTGCTAATCACTTCAAACTCTGATGATAATAATAGTAAACCACTAATTAATCACATCCTACTTCCTCTCTCTGTTTTTTTTTATTCTTTAATCAGTTATAAATTTAGCTTATAATATTCTAATTAGAAACATGAGTTGCAAATTGCCAGAAAAGATGTATTACGATCCCATCTTTGAGAAAAGTTTTAGTCGTTACGAACGTAAGAGATTCGGTTGTTGTGCATTCTTTTTGTGCCTCATTGTTGCATTCGCTGTTACCTCAACTCTCAAGCCTCATTTTCGCTCCGTGTCAATGAGTAAGTCTTAATGCATGTTTGGCTCTGATTATATTTTTCCTGAATTTTGAAATACAACACTTTTCTTTATTTATTTTATTATTATTAATGTTTATTTTGGTCTATATTTGCAGTTGTTGATCCTGTCAATTTTCAGTTGTCCATCAAGGCTGCTCAAAATATGCTTGTGCTTGATGATAGATCAGGTATGTTCAGGGGCGAATCCAACGTCATATCAATTGGGGGGAGATATGGGGAAAAAAATGAACTATGAATTTATATGGGTTCAGGGGCAGCACCCCTGAAATTATGTTTTTTGGATATTTTGTAAATACCAACAATAAAAATTAAGTATTTGAAATTATTTTAATTAACAATAAGTAATCTAAAATATATTATCAATATTGAAATTTTTAAGCTTAAGATCATATACTATAAGTTTTTTTAGGAGGGGCGAAATATACTATAATTTAAAAATAAATATAAAAAAATCATTAAGAAAAAGGCCAACTTTTTTACTGCAGGGTCGGCCCCTGGGTATGTTTAAATTAGCTATGATTTCAGAGATAAAATGGAGTTATTGAGTATTTTTGGGTTTAATGTAACAAAATTAATGTTTGTTTTAATTGTATGCTCATGAAATAAATATAATGTTTTCTGAAAATAAAATAAAACAAGGTTTCACTATAAAACACGATAATTATATGATAGGCAAATTACGAGAACTCTCCTGAGGTAGTAGTCTAATAACGAAAATCCACCCATAGATGCCAAACTATGAAAACCATCTCATGTATGTTGCCGAAGAATTATGCGGGAAGCCTGTTCGAGTTATTAGTTTTTTTTAATAATAATGAAATATTTGTAACATAAAATCAATTTTATAGAATAAAAAAATGTAAAAATGTAAACAAAAAAATTATAAAATAAATAAAAACTTTTAATGTCACAAGATATATTTAATTATTTTTTTATATAATTTATATATAAATATAATAAATATATATATATATATATATATATATATATATATATATATATATATATATATATATATATATATATATATATATATATATATATATATATATATATATATATATATATATATATATATATATATATATATATATATATATATATATATATATATATATATATATATATATATATATATATATATATATATATATATATATATATATATATATATATATATATATATATATATATATATATATATTATAATTTACCCCCAAGTAAATAATATGCTTGCATGTGTCACATGTTAAATGACAAAAATGACATTTTCAGAGATTCCATCAAAAAGATTTTGATAATTGTAATAGGGACTTTGTAAGAAGACATCATACTTGTAATAGGGGATATAAGAGTTGAAGCTAATTCCTCCACAATATATGTCCTAAAAAACTACTATGTCGAAACCATGTTAAATAATAACAATTCAATCAATTCTTGGACCATAGAGCCTTATCCTAGGAAGTACACTTCTCGTGTCAAGAAATGGACAATCAAATTGTTAGGACACAATTTTATCCCAAAATGTACTCAAAACCACACCCATCCAGCAATCCTCTTCTCACTCGGAGGATTCACCGGAAACTACTTCCACGATTTTGCCGATCTCTTATTCCCGCTATACTCAACGTCTTATCGTTTTCGAAAGGAAGTCCATTTTCTCGCAAGTGATTACGAACCATGGTTGACGACTAAATTCAGACAAATTTTGGACAAGCTAACCTCAAACCGAATATTAGACATTGACAAAGAAATCTCGCAAGTCCATTGCTTCAAAAACATAGTCGTTGGCCTCAAATTCCACAAAGAACTTGTCCTACACCCTTCATTGTCGTCAAATTCTCCAACGGGGCTTCCAATGAGCAACTTCAGGCAACTCATTCGAGAAGCCTACTCTCTCGAAAGAGAAACGGCAATCATATCAAGAAATAGGCGGCCTCGTCTAATGATTGTATCGCGGACAAGAACACGTGCGATAACAAACGAAAACGACGTTTCAAGACTGGCAATAGAGTTGGGGTACGAGGCTGTCTTGGAAGACGCTAGAGTGTCGACTGACGTCGGTAGTTTCGCGATGAAGGTGAATTCGTTCGACGTTTTGATGGGAGTGCACGGTGCGGGGCTAACCAACATGGTTTTCTTACCGGACAATGCAGTGTTGATTCAGGTCGTCTCGTTCGGACCCGTTGACCGATTTGCTAGGCTTGATTTTGGAAACCCTACTGCGGGTATGAACTTGAGGTACTTGGAATACAAAATAACAGCGGGAGAGAGTTCTTTGAGCCAACAATATTCGAATGATCATCCGATTGTGAATAATCCCAATTCTTACAAGAGATGGAATGACATTTGGTCAATATATTTGCAAAAACAGAATGTTACAATTGATTTGCTTAGGCTAAAAGGCACACTGGTTAAGGCTCTCAAGCTTTTACGCCATTGACATGTTAACTCGTGCATATGTCTTCGTCGATAATATCTGTATCAAAAGTCATTAAATCTGATTTTTTAAAGATTAAATATTAATTAAACTATTGCACAGTGTTTTAGGTGTCTCTTCATTTTACCTATGTAGCTTTCTAGACAGATGCTAGAGACTTCTATTATTCACAATAAGTAGATGTGTATGTGTGTGTAAGTGTGTAACAAGAACGAAGCTACCCTCCAGTTGTATCCAAAAACATAATTAAATAATAGTTGCTCCTTCCATTATCTAGAGATTGTTTTATTCCTTCTAATTGTTGGTTTGAGATCTTGGGCTAGTGAACTTATTTCACTACTGTAATTTTACATGGTATCAGAGCCATAAGGGCTCTGGTTGTTCGAATCGTAAGATCCCTTGGTGAAGGAATAAACGGTACTTTAGAAATGGAATCAAGCGGTCGCACCGGAGGACTTGGTATAGAATTGTTAAACGAGTTCAACTACAAGGTGTGGAAGACATGTATGGAGTCGTATCTCGTCGGAGAAGATCTTTGGGATGTTATCAGCGGAAACAACACAAGTGCTCAAGCAAACACGCAAGAGAATGCCGCAACATTAAGCAAATGGAGGCAGTTGAATGCCAAGGCAGAATTCGTCTTGAAAAGATCTATCTCACATGGTCTATTTGAGCACATAATTTGTTGCAAACCGGCAAAGGAGATATGGGAGACTCTGAACCGATTATTCAACAAGAAAAACGAGGCTAGACTACAGTTTTTTGGACAATGAGTTGCAAACACCACACAAGGTAATCTCCCCATTGCTGATTATTTCTTAATAATTAAAAACTTGGGTTTGGAGATATCGCTTCTTAATCCAAAGGAAGCAATCTCTGAAGCTCGACAAAGACGATGCATTATTCGTGGATGGAGGTCGGAATTTATTCCGTTCATAACATCAACTCAAGGGTGGACTCAACAACCATCCGTGGAGGAGCTCGAAAATCTCTTGTCTTCGCAAGAGACATTGGCTAAGCAAATGGCTGGTCTCTCGATAAATGGTGAAGAATGGACAACTCAATTCACTCACAATAAAAGGAATTTTAAAGGGAGGGAGCAGAAGAACGAGCCATGCCAGTTTACGAACAAAAGAGATACCTCTTCTGGAAATAATAAAAGTTGAATCAAATGTCACCTATGCGGTAAAACGGGGCACATAAGGAAATATTGTCATGCTAAGTTGAATCAAAGTAACTTAGTTGAATCCGAGAAAAAAAGATTATTCACAGAAAAACGAAGAGGATTGGACTAGTTGCTTTTTGCTGAGAAGATACCTGTCAATGCATTGGCTTCAATCAATTGTTGAAAAGACAGGATAGTAGACTCAGCTTGTGGCCACCACGTTACAGGAGATGATTCCAAGTTCACTAAATTCCGCCATTGTAATGGTAACGAAGCTATTGTTACGGCAGATAATTCGGTTCACCCAGTGCAAAATGGAGGTGTCGTAATCATTCGAGGAGGCAAAGAAGATGAATCTATCATATTAAACAGTGTGTTTCATGCCCCCAGGGTGAAGAAAAACCTCTTATCAGTACCCAACATTGTGGATTGTGGGAACTATGTCTTGTTTGGACCAGAGGACGTAAAATTTCTTCGTAATATCAAGGTGCTAAAAGCTGATATTCTTCACACCGGTAATAGAGTTGATGATCTATTTGTTTTAATGGGCCCAACTAAAACAGCTTCATATTCCGATTTTGTCTACATGTTGCTTTTTAGTTTTTGCTGACGATTTTACAAGATTTACGTGGGTTTATTTTGATAAAAATAATTCAAAACTTATGAATAAATATCTTGAGTTTAAAGAAACCGTTGAAGGAGAGTTTGGAGTTAAACTTAAGCCGTTGTGGTTGGATAATGGGGGAGAATTCACGTCTGGTGAGTTTTTCATTTTTTGCCGTCAAAATGGCATTGAGAGAGAACTTACTTGTGCTGAAACTCCGCAACAAAATGGAGTAGCGGAGCGAAAAATAAGACATCTAGTAGAGACTTGCAAAAACAGGTTACATGCCAAAAATTTGCCTAGATCTCTGTGCGCTGAAGGAATGGTTTGTGCAGCCTATGTAATAAACTGAATGCTGCTGATGAGTCCAACAAATATGAAATCTCCATATGAGCTGCTGTCTGGTTACAAGCCAAATGTGAAAAAATTGAAAGTATTTGCCTCAATTTGTTATGTACATGTGCCGGAGTCGCAACGAACCAAGTTTGACGCGAAGGCCAGAAAGTGCATTTCGTGGGGTACGGCGAACGAAAAAGGGGCCGGAAGTGCATGTATCCTCATAGTCATAAATTTGTTGTCTCCAGGGATGTCATTTTTGACGAGTTATCTATCCTTTATAAAGATAGAGAGCCAAGCTGCGCAACATTGCACCAAGAAATTGCAGATTTGCCATTGGCATCTCAGGCTCCCATTTCTATCCAGAATACTCAACAATCATTGAATGAGCAAAGTGAAAGGAGAAGCTCAACCATTAATAGAGGAGATGCCCAACAAGAAGGAAACACACATGAGTCGGCTTCTAATCAAAGGCCTTCGAAGAAATTTCCTTAAACCAGCCCACGATCGAGATGAAAGTTTTGTGAGCAAATATTCATGTTTTTTTGCAGGACCACTTGATGATGAAGCCAAATATATCAAAGAATGAAAGCTTGCAATGGACGAGGAGATGAGCACATTAAAGAAAAATCAGACATGGAGTCTCGTTCCAAAGCCGAAGGGAGTACACCCCATTTCTTGTAAATGGGTGTACAAAATTAAAAGAAAGGCAAATGATGCCATTCACAGATTTAAAGCGAGACTTGTTGCTCGAGGTTTTTCACAAAAGTATGGAGAAGATTACGAAGAAAAATTTAGCCCGGTAGGAAAAATGACTTCGGTTCGAGTTGTTATCGCTTTAGCAGCAAACATGTTGGAAGCGCTGGCAACTTCATGTAAAAAACGTGTTTTTATATGGAGAACTTGATAAGGATATATATATATGGAGCAATGTTAAGTGTATATTTTTACACTTTATCGTATCTTTTTATTTGAGCTTTTGGTGTGTTTTAATGATAATTGGTGCTTAAAAAGTTGATTTATTGTATTTTAGGTACAAATTGAAGAATTGGAAAAGTATGGGGTCAAAACTGCAATCTTGGCGAAAATATGGGTCAAAAGTGAAAATATCAAAATTCTGAAGAAACAAGGCTCGGACCCCCGTCCCAGTTTTAGTGCAAATTATGGGACCCCCGTCCCATACCCCGAAGTTGCGCAGTAAAGGGATTTTAATTGCACAAGGAAACTGCCTTCTTCCCCAAGTTCTTCACCCTATATAAGACCAAGCCAAGCACACAATTAGGAATCTTTTTTACGCAATTTTGGAGAGCAACAAAGCAATAACGAAGACGAAGAATTCGAAGACTCTAAGCATAGATTTATCGTTTATGACTTATTTTATTTGTGTTTTTGCTTTAATCATGAGTAGCTAAATTATTTGTTTCTAGGATTTTATTTGGAACCCTATGTGGGATTTATGAACCCTTTTCTATGATTTTATGCAAGTTTTAATTCCGGATTATTTCTTCTACTTGTTTTATTAAGTGCATGAACTTGATCAACTTATGTGCTTTTATGTTATTGTTAATCGCATGAATCGGAAGATCGGGTTAATAATTAGAACTGTGGTAGAAGAGCCTTTGTGGTATTAACATAGGAATATAGTTAATCTCTTAGGTAGCCATTATTGAGATTTGTGCTTAATGTTGTGTTCTAGAATTAATTGCATAGGAATATAGTAATTGAATCTAGAGGATTAGAATCGTAATACACGCGGAAGCGGGTTATGATTATTTTAGCATCTCAGGTTAATAATCCGGGTTAATTGCTTGCATAATTGAAGGAATTGGGGGAGTAATAATCACATAGGGGGAAGAATAAAATCCTAGGCTTGTCTACTTTGATTAATCTTCGTGTTTTTAATTGCTTTCTTGTTTTTTTTTGTGTTTTTAATTGCTTTAGTTTAATTTAGTTTATTAATCCTTTTTCGACTGTGTAGGGTGGGCTTGATAACAATTGGTAGAATTTAGCGTCTAGGATTAGATAATTAAATATTCCCTGTGGGTTCGATATCCGGACTTAATAGTCCACTATATTACTTGTACGATACGTGCACTTGCGTGTAGGTTTTCGACCAACAAGCAACCTACCGGGTATGTCTCTTTATCACATCCAAATTTTGTTTGCACGCTTCATAAATGATAAGGAACGTCAAATTGGATTCGTGTTGCAAAATAACTATTTAATTCGGAGAAGGGTTATTAATGGGCATTGGTGGAAATATCGAAAGAAATTATCGAAAAATAAGGGTTTTCGACGAACTCAAATCGTAGTTGAGTACGAAACGAACTCTATCTCAAGTGAAACGGCGCAAGGAACAAAACTCATGAGCAAAGCTCATGAATCACGTCAAATTTCAGCAATCCAACGTCGTTTAGACTCCTAAAAGTTCATTTTTGCTATTTTAGGTAAGTTTTAGAAAATTAATATTAAATCATAGAAAAATCGTATTAGGATTCCGTAAATTGGGTTATTCCCAAAATTACGAGATCTACTAGAATTAGGATTTAAATCGTTTTTGCCGTTTTTGGTAATTTTTAGTATTTTCTTATTTTAATTAGGGTTTTCAGTTTTTTAGTATAAATAGCTGGGACTTTATTTTAAAGAAGATTTTCGAATTTTAATAAAATATTTAGAGTTTTCTCTATTGTTCTGGTGGATTCCAGAGTTTTTCGGTGGATTCCGAATGTTATTTTGTTCTATAGGATTAATTCGTAGAAATTAATTCTTTACCGTGCTTCCGTTCTGCGTCAATAAAGCTCTTTACGGATTAAAATAAGCTCCTCGAGCTTGGTACGGAAAAATTGCCAAGTTCCTTCAATTTTGTGGATATTTTGCTTCCAATTTTGATCAAAGTTTATTCGTCAAAAAGGACGCGAATCTACATATAGTTGTTCTTTTATATATAGATGACATGATTGTAACAGGAAATGATGAACATGAAGTCGCAAAATTACGAGAACAACTATCAATCCGTTTTGATATGAAAAACTTGGGGGAGCTAAATCATTTTCTTGGTCTGGAGGTGGAGAATTTTAAAGAAGGTATATTCCTGACTCAAGAAAATTATGTAAAGAAACTTATTGGCATATTTTTGTCCACCTGTAGCAAGAAATGTTCAACTCCACTTGACGCTAATGTCAAGATGAAACGAGAAGAAGGTTCTCTTTTATCGGATGCCCAGCCTTACGGTGCTCTTGTGGGAAGTCTTTTTTACTATCATTATAAGGCCAGACATTGGCATTCACCGTGGGGCTCGTAAGTAGATTCGTGCAATCTCCAAGGAAGCC